GAGCAGGGCTTCAGGAGGGAGTATAACTTCATTGTTCTCTGTTATCTTTGGAGAAGACCGTTTTCAGGTCCTCAATTGTAAGGAATAGGAAGGCAGATAGCAGCGGGTGTATCTATTAAAGCAGAGACATTAACCTAACAGGGGGACGTGAACTAAAGGGTTAGGGGCTACCACAAAATCACTAGGACACAAATATAGCTGACCTGCAGCCATGGGCACAGCTATGATTGTGAACAGTTTGAAGCTCCAGACCCTCCTATTCTCCATCTCCCTTAACACCCAACACGTACACACACATGCACACACATGTGTGTCATCGAACTGAGGACACACAGACACCATCCTGCAATGCAGAAGTGATTCCTGTGTTAATACAACAAACAGAGATGGTACCTCTGGTGGGGGAAGGCCCTTACTGCTGGGGGTGGGGAATATCATTCCCTGTAGGACAGAAGTCCAAACTCCTCTCGCCTCCTTCCTAACACCCCTCCCCTAACATCTCCTGCCACCCATCTTACCGGGTCCCTGGCTCTGGCTGCGTCACCACACGGCTTTCACGTTGCCTCTGTGTGCCTTGCCTTCCCTCTTCTCCCCACAAGCCGGGTCAGCCTGCTAATGCTGCTCTTCTCACAAGGTCAGCGCCCCCATCCGCACTCCGGGGGGGCTTTCCATACCTTCTGGCACCACCCACCCGGGAACTGGCCATTCTCCTTTATGCCTGCACCGAACCCATTCCTATCAAAACATCTCTTACTCCAAATTACACTTTAAAAAAGCATCTGTGGGTTTTTCCGTGCCTTCTCAGCCCTTACCCAGAGCGGATGAAGATGCTTACAAGCCACAAGCACTGCCAATACCATAACACCCTCATTCTCTACGTGGAATTTAGGATAAAGACAGTACTTTGCCAAAAACTGAAAAAACAAAGAAAACCAAACTCATGATTAAAGTATTTGAAGTAAGTTCATTGCCCGGCACCTGGATGGTGCTTAGGAAATGCTTGGATGGGTTTACTGGTGGATGGTCTGGTGTATCATGGTGCAATACACTGGAAAAAGTAGGCACCCCAAGAGAGGAGCAAGGACGGTGTGGTGGCATTGTAGGGAGGAGGCAGCAGCTTCTGGCTGGGGAATTCGGGGAGAGCGGGGGGGAGGAAGATCTTCAACTGGACTCATTAGAGAGTAAGATGAAAGACAAGTGTGCTCATGCGTACATATCACAAGGTGAACGCATTCATGAAGAATCACACATCTTTGTAAACCTAAAAAAAAAAACCCCAGAAAACATCCTATATATAATCTTGCTTAGCAAGATGGCTCCTAGTTACACTTATTTTTCTTAAAGTAAATGGTTTTCAGCCCTTTTCCTTTTCGTGTGTTTGGTTTTGTTCCATCTTCCAGGTCAGGTTTATACCCCTGCCTGAATCTGCTTGCTTTTTATGTAGCCCAGTGGTTCTCATCGGGCTGCAGCCCCTCCAGGGGACACTCGAAAATGGCTGGAGACATTTTTGTTTGTCAGAGCTGGAAGAGGGGGGTACAAAGTCCATGCCATTTATATGTTTTCAAGATCTAAGCCAGGGCCAGAGAAGACCTTCTTCTCTGGCTGCAGGGAAACTTTATGAAAGTTGTCCACTCAGGACATGGGCTGTCTTGCCATTAGGCTGGGGAAAGTTTTGGCAAACACACTAGCCAGAGGCAGTCAGGGAGGCCAAGGAACTTTTTGGCACTGTGAAGGTGGAGAGAGGGGAGAGATTTCATTTGGTCCCTTCTACCACTCAGGGCACTGGAGTAAAAGAAGACCTGCCCTCTCATCCTGTCCATGCAAACATGTGCTGTGTGGCCTTAGGCAGGTTGCATACCCTTTCTGTGTTCCGTTGATCTTCCTCTCCCAAAATGAAAAATGGAGCTGCCACTTTGCTTTTCTTCCCTTATTTCTACTATGCCT